ACTACAAGTTATGGTAATTGTCATTTCAGATACCATAAAATATTCAACAAAAAATCAAGATGCTGGAGGCTGTATTCTGAGAAGGTGGCAAAAGACTTCCCCTACATCCCAGAGATCCAAACCATGATCGTCAACCAACGTTTGACAAGCAAGAAAGGTCTTCCTCGACGCTACAATCTAAGGCCTGAGGATCCAAGGCGTTCGGGTTTGCTGTCCGGAGTCACTGCACCATCAACAGAGGAACTTCTACAACACCTACGGACTTGCGGTGATGGTAAAATAAAACATTATCTGCCTTACATCTTCCACACAATAGTCCATTGCTAACTAAGTTTATTTTTTATTTACAGGTAAAACTTTGCCACAGACATAGGTGTTGGGGGAGGCAAGAGAAAACCCAAAACCTTCTTTATTTTTCCCTGTTTTTTTATTTTTGTTTGTTTGAAAATAAAGATATATTTTGGGGAAATAAGGACTAATAATTTAAAAATGTATGTAAAATGCTGGAGGTAGACATAAGTTTTTGTTGTTGTGCAGGAGTTTTAACATTTATGGTATTTTTACAAATGCAACACAGAGTTATGCTTTAGAACACTTTATTAGAGCATCAAACAAAAATTTATAAAAAACAAACTTATGTAAAATATCAAATATATACATTTATTTACAATCGTCTTGGAATAAAACCAGTGTAGTTACCATTGGGGTCAGGGAATTTTTCCCTTATCCTCCAGACAACAGCTTGGGATTACTAATCTGCGCCCTCCACCAAGTTTCCCAAGCTGCCATGCTACAAATTGTCTGTAAGCTGCATGGCGGAACTGTCTGTTGTCCTCACCAGGGTCCGGGTCATCATAAACTGCTCGAAACTCATTCCACAATGTTCTGGCCAGGCGAAGAACACCATTTTGCAGAATAAACTCCTCCATGTGTGGTACAGTTGAAAATACATGTCTGGGGAGGCTGTTGGCAGCATTTCTTTTCCAAATCAGTTGGCATATCTCTGCAGTGGGAGCATACACACCATGAAGGTTGATTGGATGTTGGAGGTGTTGTGGCAGGTGGACTAGAGAGGGCAAGTACATCAAAGAGAATACCAGGGTCTCTGTCCAGCACCATGGTAAGGATGTCAATAGCCTGCTGAGGGTTCAGGTTCTGTATGTGTTGCTACAAAAGTGGAAAGGGATGCTACAGCAACAGATTTTAGGATCATTTAGTGTAATTTTGTTATGCTTACACGTTCAAAGTCTATTCGCTCTCGAGAGATATCTTCATCTCCAAGGTCCACAGCTGACTCGCACTTCTTCGGCCTCTGGATGCACCACGGCCTCTGGATGCACCACGGCTTTGAGATGATGGTGGGCATCTCCTTTTTGCACCACGTCTTGAGGACGCAATGGGAGGTTCAAACTCTTCCTCAGAGGATTCCTCAATCACTGAACTCTAATTTGTATTAGAATAAAAAAAATACTAATATAAAAAGTACTCTTGCATATTAATCAATTTTGACACAGATCAGGTTTACATCTAGTCAAAATTTGGGCTAAACCAACAATAACCAGAAACCCTATGAAAACAACCATGATTATAGGAGGACTACACAGAATGCAGTGTTTATTCATGATTTCCACATAAATTATATGCTTTGATATATTCATCCCATCTTGAATGGCAAAGCAATTAAAAATAAGCTAATTACTCGTAATAAAATGCATTATCTTCTGACAGAAAATGCTGTGAAAATCTAGCATTTCAAAAGCCACTCCTATAGAAACCACTCTACGTGTATCACAAGTTAAACACATCTTTAACAAAAAAGCCCCTGACTGAGAAGACTGCTAATAAAATAAATAGATAAACTGGATTATGACTTTCTATGCTAAAGAAAGTTAGGCATTTACGGAGGGGGGGCACTTACCATTTGGCAGTAAATACTCTTTTGATTTGGACGGGTGTTGATTTGGACGGGGGAGAATTATTCACCGTGCACCGATTCCAGATTCTGGAAATGAAATTTCGAAATTTGGTAAAACGTGTCTGCTTTGGTTTGACACAAGGTCGATCACTACAGTCCAAAATCACATCTTTTAGTTCAATATAGTCTGATGCTGACAAGTCTATATCCAAAATCACATCTTTTAGTTCATCAATTGGAGCTGAACTGTTTGTGTTCCTGTCTTCAGCCCCTATCATTATTTCATGAGCCATTTCCACATATAGGCTGTTCCTGGCGTCAGCAAGGTGCTCCATGGTGATAAACATGTGCTCCAGCCCTGCAGCTGGAAGGATCCTATCTGCCGGATTCACACATAGCATTTGTTTCAGAAGATCTAAGAATGCGTTGAAGTCTTTGACTTCAGTTTGGCCGGCGTTTGCTGGAATCAAATTTGTTAAATCATCTAGGGAGTGTAATTTATCATATATTGAATGGCTCTTTTTAATCTTCTGTCCTGTGGCCTGCTCATATTCTTCAGGTGTTTTAAGCCTCCAGAAGTGTTCAGGTCCACTCTTATCCAGTGTGAAAAATGTATCGGCTTGCCAGCCATCACTGAGGGAATGACTGCTGGGCAGACCAAGAAGCTTTAAAATTATCCTCACTGCTTCATACTCGTCATCTGGGCACAGGGTCCGACCTAGAAACAAAAAGGCCAGAGTATATCCGAGACTCCATAGGTCGAGGGATTCATCCCGTGGCGTGCCCAGATGGATCTCAGGAGCTCGGTACTTCACAGCCTGCATCAGATGATACTCTGATAATTTTTGTGTCCTATGAGCAAGTCCAAAGTCGATAAGCTTGACTCTAAACGGCTGTGACTCATGATTTACCAGCATGATGTTGTCTGTTTTGATGTCTGTGTGAGTGACACCGATTTGCTTCAGAAAGCCAAGCATTTCCAACAACTGCTTGGCGATCGGTCTGATTTCAGACACTGTCAGAGGAATCCAATGTCTGTCTTTCAATAAGTCAAACAGAGTTCGGTCCAGCAGCTCATACACAATGCAAAAATATTTGCTACATGTAAAACATTCGATTACCTTTGTGACGAACTTCTGGCTAGAGTCGCGGTGCTTGAGATATTGTAAGACTTTCACTTCATATTTCGCGTCTTTCTCTTTTGTCATGAATTTAATCGCTACTAATTCATCTGTTCCTTCAATTCTGCACAGGACAACCGTCCCAAAGGACCCAGATCCAAGCACCTTATCCACATGGTAAACATTTGTAAGGCTTCTGATAACATCACCCGTCTTTATTGTCTGGCTTGTTTCTATCTCTTTCTTAGGTGATTTTTTAATTGCTGATTCAACATCTTTTAAATCCTGAGGTGGAACGTTGTCTGGTGTCCTATTGCCTCCCCCTGTCTTTATTTCACTATCAGTCACAGTTGGTTTGCTCCTGAAAAATGTGTGATGCAGAGCTTCTGCTGGAAGGATTCTGTCAGCTGGATTCACAAATATCATTTGCTTTAAAAGGCCTACAAATGCTCGTTTTTCTTCCAGCTCAATTGGATCTTTCACTGGTAGGCCTGAATGCATCAAGAAATCCAGAGACACTAAAGCGTCATAGCCTTTGTTTGCCATACTAACTAGCTTTCCAGTCGTTTGCACATATTCATAAACTGATTTAAAAGTCCATGTCGATCCAGATGTGAAAAAGTGTTTGGCCCGCCGTCCCTCCTTCAGTAAACTCTCATCAGGATTCCCAAACAGCTGAACGATGACTCTCAGATACTCGTATTCATCATATGTGGGGTACAAGTGAAAACCCAGGAACAGAAATGCGAGTGTACAGCCTAGACCCCATGTGTCCACGCTGTTATCCAGGCGCCCATCCAAAACTATTTCTGGAGCGCTGTAACCATAATTTACAGCGATGTCCCTTTCTGATAATGTAGAAGTGAGACACGCTTTACCGAAGCCAATTAGTTTAACCCTGAGCGGCTGTGATTCGTGGTCAACTAACATAATATTCTCAGGCGTTACGTTAGTGTGAGTAAGGCCAGCTTGTTTTAGGGAATTCAGAGCTAAAAGCATTTGACAAGCAATAATCCTGATTTCATCTATGCTCAAAGGTTTCCAGTTTCTTTCCCTCATAAAGTCCATTAATGTCATGTCCAGTTTCTCGAAAGCAATGAAAATCCTGTCCTGATAGAGAAATACCTCTCTAAACTTCACCAAGTTGTTCTCGTCACATTTAAGACTCGAAACATATTGTAAAACTTCTTCTTCTTGTTTGTATGAATCCTCAAACTTTTTCCGAATACATTTGAGAGCAAAGATTTCTCCTGTTTCAAGATGCGTACATTGAACAAGTTCCCCAAAATTACGCCGCTTTAGGATTTTATCCACGTGGTACGTACCTGTTCTGCTAATAATACTGACACCTTCTTGAATTTCAAAAGGCTTTTCATCTTCTGAGTTCATTTTGAAATGTTGTTCAGGCTCAACGCGCATATCGTCAACCATCTCTCGTCGGTTTTCACTAAACTCCAAAAAAGGTTGGTAGAAATGATTGTGGTTTGTTAAAGATCCTTTGAATAAAAGTCCTCTTCAGAAGTCTGCTGACGTCTTGACACTAGCTTGTCACAAGCTGAAATGAGTGTGTGTGGTGTCTGCGGAACTATCTAAGCTTCTATGACGTCACAGCTTTGATGACGCAACAAAGGCGTATGATATCTGACGCTGGCGGTGACGCTGACGCTCTAACTAAGCTGACTCACATGAATTACGGCTTTTACTAGTTTACAACTGTTAATGCTATGTTCTATGCTCCAATTAAGCAAGATAAATATAACTTGCTACATGACAAACAGTGGCGTGTCCAGGCCTTATAAAATGGGGTGGCCCAGGTAGGGCACTTGTTTTTGCATGGGTGGCACCAATAGTTGTACTTATTTAGATGGTGGAGTTTCACCCATCACAAAATCAATAGGTTTTTTTTTTTGCATTGTAGAATTTGTAAACTCCACTTTGTTCCATGACCATTGTTTGTCTCCACTACCTGTATCTATTTTAAATTGCCTATTATGTTTTGATCTTGTTTAAATAAAACTAAATAAACTGTATTAATTTAAGGCCACCCAAATTACCATTCTTGTGTTCAAAGACATAAAATAATCAACCAATACAAACACATATAAAACAACACACTGGGTAAAGTGAAACCTATTTATTCTTTAGTTAACTGTTCATAAAGGAACAGTCCAAAAGATTGTAATATCATAAAGTGCCAACATAAATCAGATAAATTAGCCTGGATGAAGGCCTTAGTTAAACTCCATACAATAGGTACAAATAAAAATTATACAAGGACGATCATACTTTAACATCAAGTTTCAGTACAGTCATCAAATCATTTACAGTTAAAAAAAAAATTCCTAAACACAAATCAGATTGTGTGCTTGTACCCTCAAATGTTTCAAATATGGTTTCACAACAGATTAATCCGTCTGTTCTTGTGTTGCCTTGCAAACACTTTAATGAATTCATCCAGGTCCAATGTCTTGGCTCTTCTTGACTCAATACTAAGCACTCCCAAATGACTTAGCCTGCTGTCTCCCATTGTTGTCCTTAAGTGATTTTTGATGAGCTTCAGAGCTGAAAAGCTACGCTCACAGGCAGCACTACTAACTGGAAGAGCCACAGCTATTTTGCACAGCCTGAACAACTCATGGAACACTTCTTGGTGTGGCTCTAAAAATAGAGTCAAGTCTAAAATGCTTGATAACTGTGTATCCTTACTATGACTTTTTCTTTTCAAAATGTTCCTAGCCTGGTGAAGTTCATGGCTAAGATCTTCACAGTCACATCCATACATTTTACCCAAGTCAAGTACCAGGTTATCTTGAAGGAATTGACTACATTTAGGATGTAAGGCATGTACACCTTTCATTATTGTGCAGCTGTTCTTTGAAAACCTTCTGTCCATTTCACACATTATTCTGTCAAGAATGGGGTAGAGTAGTCTCTGTCTGAATGTTTCTTTATCATCATTACCCTCTCGCAAGCCTAAAGTGCATGTCACAAAAGAGCCACCTAGCCTAGAGTTTATTTTTTGCAACCTCTTTCTCTCACCATCCTCAATAGCTACATTGCACTGTTTGGCAGTCTCCATTATGTCATGCCATAGTTGATCACAGTATGTGTCAGTCCTGTACACCTGAAATGAATCACAAAGGGCCTTAACCATGTCTACTGCCATAGCTAAATCAACAGAAGGTGACTGCAATAAGTCAGAAAGCAGCTTTGTGTTTCCGAACAACTTTCGGAAGGTAGCAAGAAGGCTAATAAAGGTTAGATCAATCTGCAAGCAAACCTCGAGCATCAATAGATCTGTCTCTATGATTTTCTGTGCTTATGTCCTGAAGAACACGTAACACAGCAGGTAACCTATCCATTAAGTTCCTACAAGCCAAAGCTCTACATGCCCATCTTGTGTCACTGAGTTTTACCAACTCCCTGGGCTGGCCACCATACATTTCCTTCTGAACATCCAGCCATCTCTGGTGCACATAGGATCCTGACATGAACACATAAAGCCTCTCAAGAAGGGAGAAAAAGGAATCAGCCTCTGGAACTGATTTTACAGTGTCAACCAAAACCAGGTTTAGACAGTGTGCATTGCAATGGACATAAAAAGCATTGTTTGCCTTTTCTTTTATCCTTGCAGCAACACCAGAGTGTTTGCCACTCATAACTGTGGCTCCATCATAGCCTTGCCCAATGAGATTTGACTTGTATTCAAGGCCATAGCTCTCCAAACATCCAATGATCATTTCACTCAGGCTCTTAGCATCCAGTTGTTCGGCATGTTGAAAACAAAGAAAGCTTTCATGCACTGCACTATTGTAGTAGTATCTTACAACTAATGACAGCTGCTCCTTCTTTTGCAGATCTTTGCTTTCATCAGCAATCACTGAAAATACCTCACTCTTCTTCACTTCCTTCACAATGGTATCACGCACCATGTCTGCTAAACACTGCAAGATTTCATTCTGGATCGTATTGCTAGTATATTTAGCATTACCAGGTCCTTTCATTTTTCTGGCTACTACAGGATTGTGTTTTGCAATGACTTCAAGAATTTCTAAAAAATTCCCTCTGTTGTCAGACTCAGATTCACTGTGACCTCTCTGTGCCATATTCTGTGTTGCTGTCAAAAGCAGTACATCTGCAATTGTTTTAATGTAACTACAATTCTCTTCCACTTTTTTTCTGTATTCTTGGTTCATCATATCCATTATGGATGAATCTGTTAGTACAGCTCTCTTTTGTTGACTCCAAGCCAACATGGCAGTAATGTGTGACTCAGATTTCTCATGCAACTTGAAACCACCATCTTTGAACATAGCCTTTTTCCAATGTGAAAATCCAGACTCTGATGTAAAAACTGATTCTGATGCACTAGGCAGGGAGAAGTGTCTGCAGGCATAACAGTAGGCTGAATCTTGGCTTGCAGAGTATTCAAGCCATGAATGCTGATCATACCATGAAGAATTGAATGATCTCTTCCTCTCACCAAAGACCGTTTTAGGAAAAATCTTCAGCTGAGGTTGAGTGGGACCTGCTGCTCTTGATTGTGAAATATCTGAAATAGTTAATGCCTCACAATCAGCATACTCTCAAACAAAAAAACTGTGTGTTTTAATCAATTAATTGTGTATTGCATATACTGCAATGTATTAATGTAAAAAATGCATTAAAACATACCATGAGGTCCACGTGGTGCACAAGAGGCTGCAACATCACTTTCCTCATGGGAAACCTCAGGGCTTATAGGTACTTCTGGTGGTTGGTCCTCAGTGTCAGTTTCATGGTCTGAATGTGGCTGACTTGATACCCCTAAAATGACAGTGGTATCAATCAAATGTAATAACTTAAGCTAAAGAGGAACTACAAGGCTAAAAATGTGTTCACTTGTGCATACCATACTCAGGAGTCGCAGGTAAAGTTGAACAGCCTTCATCTCCAGAGTCTTTGTCCAACTCTTAAAAAACACCATAGAATAGGAAATATCATAATACAATCTGCTATTTTAGAGTGCAGAAAAGCAGCAAAGTAAGACTCCATTAATATTCAGTTAAACAACTGTAAAAAAACAAAAACCTGTAAACAAAGAAGAGCAAACTAAAGCCAGTCAATATAAAAAATAGAAATCACTGAAATAAATTAAAAGTAATCAACTTTTAACATTATTTTAAATATGTAGCAGTTAATCACAGTGTTACATTACCTACCCATATGCACAGCAGAAGCTGGGGACCCCTTCTGCTGTGGTCTATCCTCAAGCTGGCTCTCTGACTGACTACTAGCATTAATGCTGGCTGATCTGTCCTGCTCTGATGTTCCTGCTTTCTTTCTTTTGAAGAAATCCTTAATGTTCAGAGTTCTTTTCATACTGTAACAGTCACAGGAAGACAAGTCATGTTACACCTTGTTCATAATGCATAATGAGGCAACCAAAGATTTTTCTGGCATAAAAAAATTAGCAGTGGGGGTTCAGCTATCTCACAAGTGGCGGGGAAAAGTATTCCAACTGACTCATTAACAGTGTATTTCCGTTCACAGACTCAATTCACTTTACTTCAGATGTGTTCAGAAAAGCACCAGTGAAGTGTAACTGTGTACTAGCCAATGTTGTATAGGGTTGCAACAGTTTAAAATTTGGGTCATACAATTAAAATCTGGATAAATATTCATAGTTTCATGATTACTGTGGTCATTTTCTGTATTAATGTAAATAAATCATACAAATACAAGTTGTGGCTTAAAACTCCAGAAATGTATTGCTGCTTTTCTGAGATTCTGCTTAGAAAAAAGGAATACATAAAGTTTGAATAATTTCTGTTATTTTTAAACTATAGTTTACAACTTTTAAAATACTCATCAACTTTGCCAATTACCATGTTTCAAAAAATACTTAACTGTTGATAACTGGTCTGGGTTAGGTTTAACTCATCACAATTACTCCAGTCAACACTGAAGATTGGAGACGTCAAATGAAATGAGATGTTAAATTACTATAATATAGTTATAAATATCACTCAATATAAGTTTTATTAGTTGATATCTTTATTTTTCTAAATGAACCTTCTTTCACTGGATTGTTCTAATATTACTGTAGAGTTTCTCCTGTCACTAACATAATCTGACTTGTTTATTTCTCTGCATTTGGATCTCAGACTTGATGATTGAATCATATTTAAACCTTCGGCTGCAAATTATTTCCTGCCAGTTCTGCAGATGGACGAGCCTATGTCCTGAATTAATATCTCCTTTAGCATCTCTGGGGATTTATAATATTCCCTCACATGTGACTTTGAACACCATAGGCAATTACAAAGCAGTCGCCTGTTGCCTCTGCCGTGATTAGCGTGCGCTCGTTGCAGTCGCGCTTCTGTTTTTGTGCGTGCGGGTCGCGTGCTATTTTTGCTTTTAGCTGTGTTTAAGTAGTCTAAAGGTGGGTTTAACCATAGTGTGACACACTGCTAGCCTAGAATCTAGATCGTTTTTGTCGACAAGATGGCTTGCCATGGTAACTGCAGTTAACCTGGTTAAATACTTTAAAGTTGCACCAAAAACTTTTTTACTATAAATCTTGCAAAAGTCTAGTCACATTTCAGGAAACAAATGTTACGAAATCACTTACATGAAGGAAAAATGTTCAAATATTGTTCATTGAATGTATGTTATCCACGGTTATCCACTAGCTTGTCTTCTCCAGGAACCTTCTTCTCTTCTTCTTTGGGTAATCTGTAGGCCTCCTCGTCCTCCTTCTTCTTCTTAGAACTCTACTGTAGCAGGTAGCAGCACTTCTTGGCTAATTACCGCCACCAACTGGAATGGAGTGGGAATGAACCAGGACTCCAAATACAATGTATAAAAAAAAATACAAGATAATAAAGAATACTAAAATAAAATTAATAAGATAATGTTGAATATGCATACTTCATCTTACTTTTTTGGGATTTATAATTCATGAACGTTTGTGGAAAATATAGAGTGAAGTTAAATGGAGCTCAGTGTGGGTGGCACTTGGGGTGGCCAATCAGATTCCAGGGGTGGCATGTGCCACCTCAGGCCACCCCCTGGACACGCCCCTGATGACAAAGCCTGAATATATCCCGACATGAAAAGGTTTCTTTTAGCGAATATCTGTCCACAACCGCTCCTTTGAAAAAGACATAAAAGAGCATGATGTATGTATGTTTATTGTTGTGGTCTGGTAGTCTAGTGGCAAGATCGTCCCCTCCAAGTTTTGCTTTCCCCTCAGCTGATGTAGGTTCGACTCTCGGTGGGGTCGGCAGAAATCTATTTAGCCAGCTGAAACATTTAATTTGTTTATATTTTAGTTGTAATGTTTATTGTATGCAAAATATTTATGTCTCTAAAAGTTCTTTGAATTTGGTCGTTCCTAAACAGCATTTTAGTTGAAACTCTGCTCACAAATGGACTCACACTGGCTAAATAAATGAATAAATAAATTAAAAAAAACACATTAGCTATTATATTTTAAACGGTATACCAATAAATGGTTAAAAAAGTAGTACTGGCAAGTGTAGCTAGAAAAGAAGAAAAAAGTTTGCGCCATCACCGGGAGGCGAACCTTCGCAAAAGTACGTGCCAGTCTGTCTCCATAACCACTTCACCAGTACATCTGATCACAATGAGTGTGGCGTCACATTTTATTGTCCCATACTGTACTGATTAACAAAACTCCATACAAGGTGCCTTTGTAGATGGGATGTATGGTTTTTCTAGCGGTGACTCAGTAGAAGTCATTTCAGAAATAATTTGTCAGAAAATTCACAGAATATCCAGATTTGAGAACCAAGACCAGACCCGCTTCAGAGGAGAGGACCAAATTGAAGCTGAGATGGGAGGAAAATGTGTGAATGAGGCCAAAAATGGCTTTGGCGTGTTTCTTATGAGGAAATGACAATATAACATGGTAAAAAGTTCCAAAATTTAGATTTTTAATTATATGGAACCTCTACAAAAACGGTTCAATTAACTTCTCAACTCCGTCCTCAATCTTGCATTTTAGATTATATTAGCTATAACAACCTCTTTGGTTCCAGAATGCTATCGAGTCTGACAACTGGAAGGAATTGGACTGCCTCCCTGACTCTGATGGAATGGGTGGGGCTGACTCTGGTGCAGCCCCACCTTCTGGTGCAGCTCTGCCTTTGTGGTTCTGCAGCAAGCACCACTTGGAAGGAATTGGACTGACTCTTATGGGATGGGCGGGGCTGATTCTGGAATGGGCGGGGCTGACTCTGGTGCAGCTCCACCTTCTGGTGCAGCTCTGCCTTTGTGGTTCTGCAGCGAGCACCACTTGGGACCGGGTGGAGTGGGGTGGTGGCATGTCCGCTCCGTACTTCTGCTAATAATGTCAGCTGGGTGTTTTTGTGTGCGCTCTATGTTCTCAAACCCCCAGTGAGTCACGACAGATGGCTGCTCAAACTGAGTCAGGTTCTGCTGGAGGTTTCTTCCTGGTAAAGAGGAGTTTTACTCTCTACTGTCGCTACATGCTTGCTTTGTATGTGGATTGCTGTAAAGTCACTGACGCAACAAGTTATTGGTTGGATGCTATCTACTATTCATAGAAAACTCTTAACTAACTGTAATAATTAACAAAACTCCATGCACCATTTCGTAGGCGCAATTGGAAAGTTTGCTTTGTAAAGTGAGATGACGTATTGTATAAATAACCTGAATAAAATTGAGTTGACATTCACACTCAATAGGAGCACTTTTTGTCTCTGCCTCATCACAGAATTTACCCTCCAACAGAGAAAACCAAAGAAAAAAAACAAATGCTTGTTTAAAATATTATTAAATTGCTACAAAATCACTGTAGAATGATAGATTCTCTAATAATAAACGTCAGTCTAAAACAGAAAGAAACATTAGAAATCAAAATGCCACCAATGAAAGGAGTGCATTGGGAAGTCCATCATGTTTGAAACTATAATTGAATGTAGTTCAGTCAGATTCTACTACAAGTAAGAACGTTGCAGCACTAACAAAGTCAAATTATTATCAATGATGTGAATTTGGCCCAAAACCATCAGTGGATGTGTGAGTGCTGGAATTGAGCTATTTAATAACTACTTGTCTGATTACACATCTGTATCCTTTAAGAGACTTTGATGTCAGCTGTTTACAGTTTCATTGTTAGTTAAACAGAAAAAAGAAAAATCAGTGCAGCTGCCTTTAAAAACTGATTTCACTTTTCATATTTCTTTAACTTGTGGAATTTCTTTTAATTTCTGAAAGTGGCTGAAAAATAAAGGATTTCTTTACTTCATTTAGAATGTCAACAAACTTATAGTTAATTCCAGAATTGATCTAGAGGATCTTTACTTGGTGCACAGATCAGAGCGATCTGTTATGATGTGTGCCCTCTTTTTAAAACTGACTGAAAAGAGTATGAAAAGGCAAACGCTTACTGGAAGCCCAAAGACTGACAAGAAACTACAAAGGGCAAATATATATGTGTGTGTGTGTGTGTATATATATATATATATATATATATATATATATATATATATATATATATATATATATATATATATATATGTATATATATATATATATATATATACAAAATGGTGACAGCTAATGGTGGAGACACACAGCTCCTTCTTCAAGGCTGTAAAAGAAGAATGCAGTTAGTGTTTGAAATCCTGCATAGTGCCTTTTATCATGGATTTCTCTTAATACTAAATTGTGTTTTAACAAACCATAATCTAAAGTTTTAATTAGTTAGACGTTTATTTCCTCAGATATTGGTATTTATAAAAACTTTGTGTAGATCATCTTTAAATAAACTTTCATTTTGCTGTGGTCTCATGCTGCGAGTGATTTTATGTCCGTCAAGCACACAAAATGATTGTTTATTTAAATAATAAAATTATAGAAGAAGAAAGGAAATGTTTGGTTCTTGTTTTTTTGTTTATTTATGTTTGTCAAGGTTTATATGATCTTATGGTTATATCATTTTTCTTCTACTAGTTTGCAGCAAAAACAAAAAAAGTAGGAAACAGCCCCCTCTACTGAAAATTTTTATTTTATCCTTTTTTTAACCTTAATTTTTTTAGTCTGAGCTTTAAGTTTCTTTATTGTGCTTCTGAAGCACCTTGAAATTTTTATCTTTAAAAGTTTTATTCAAAAAAACTTACTTCGTAAAGTGAAACTGATTATAGGAGGAGAAAGAAAAAACAAAGGAAGTGATCCTTTTTTACGTTACCAGCCAGAACTACTGGTTAGAAAACATCTTCCTTGTATCTTTGCAGCTAATTGTCTAACACTTCCTCTTTCCGCTTGGCTGCACTTCACATTTTTACCAGAGCTTATCAGATGAGCTGTAATGAGCCAGTGACAAAAGGTTTTACTGACTTGTCACTGAATGATGTTCCCTTAACTGGAGCAGCGAAGAAGGTGAGCTATACTTTTAACCTAATATTTACTATTTTGTTGCTAATCTTTAGTCACATTGTTTGTAATTTTACATGCGAGCATTCATCTGTCTATAGATGGCTTCGTTGTGGCAAAGTGTCCTGTCTGCTCACCAGAGGATAGTGGACAATGGAGGTATGGTGACTGCTTTTCCTTCAAATCTATTTGGCTTTTGTATAATCCTGGCAGATGAAAGAGGAGATCAGTCTAATCTAGTAAGGACTCTGTTCTGATGGGAAGTTTGGAAGCTGCAGATTTTGTTAGTGTTTTTGAACATTGAATTCATGATTATCGAAATGAACACAGTGCAAACAGCATAAATATCTCTCAAGTTGTTTTAAAGAGTAGAACAAAGCAAAAAAATTGTGATTAGTATGCAAAAAGCAGATTTATCTCTCACTAAAGCTGACATATCTGTCCCCCCCACCCCACAGACAAGAGGACAGACCCCTGGCTGCTGGTCTACTCTCCTGTCTCCGTGTCGCTCATCTTCCTGCTTTACCTGTTTGTGACCTGGGCCGGTCCTCGTCTCATGAAACACAGACAACCTTTGGACCTCAAAGTGGTTCTTATTCTTTACAATTTCACCATGGTTCTTCTGTCTGCATACATGTTCTACGAGGTGTGTGTTATGTGTATTTTACATAAATACAAACAAATCAGTTTTGAACACAACAGATTCAAAAAGACAAAACGATTTCAACAAACATTGCGTTATCTCCCATTGTCTTTCCCAAGTTCCTTTTGTTGATGGTTTAAGCAAAGCTGCAGTTATGAAAGCAGGAAGTATTTACAAATGGGCCTTATGTCTGTTTTTTTTAAACCGGCAAACACAGATTCGAAAAATGTTTGAGAATTATCCCAAGTCACAATTTGTAGAAAAACCTGCAAAGTTATGCATCAACAACTGGAGGAGCTGAGTCCCCAGTTTACACCAGGTGCAGCATTATACAACACCAGCTGTGGCAAAATGGGCTAAATTAGTGCTTGTTTATTGGCAGCGTGTCAAACATGGATCGGCTGTTCGTGTAGTTGCACCCGTAAGATCAAAGTTCACTGGATAATTGACCTTATATGCTTTAAAATAAACTTTTTTTTATACCATCAGCCTTTTAAACTCACCATCTATTCCCATAATTGTGTATGTTTTATAACATACCTTATCGTTTTTAGCGTTGCCTTTGTTAAAGAAGTGCGGTGCCATTTATAATGGTGTGAATATCCACTGCCAGGATAAAAACCGCATGCATGCTGAAAACACCACAAGGAGCAAATGAGCCCTTTGGTCATGGGTAAAGATGGAATGTTTACATAGTATACCAATGTCAACCCCGCATTTACATGTGTGATGTCCTGTTTAGCTCCATGTTCACTGTGGAAGTTGACGTGTCATGGAAGGAGCAGGATTGGTCGATGCCACCCTGACGGCAAGCTTCGACACCCCCTGAGGCTGCCTAAGGTCCCCCTCATTAATAAGTACTGTTTTTTTGTGTTAATATAGCCTAATGTCAGATAAAGAAACAAAACTTGTACAAGTAGTAAATGTGTAGCTTTTACTGTTAATCTCTGGAAATATCCATCGAAATGTTTCTAAGGGCGACGCCATATTAGACACCACGTTTCCTTCTACAGGAGCGCGTAAGGTCAAAACGCATTTACTGATTTGTAACAAACGGTTACAAGACTTTCACCATTAACATACATTTTTACCCATTTACCTCTTCGCTCGTTGCCGCTGATGAAAGGGAGTCTTATGTGCTTGTCATGTTGCTGGATGGTGAGCTGCCAGAGAATTTTTGACCCTAATGGCCATCCATTATAAGGTCCTATTCAAACACAAAAATACAGCTTGCTTGCAGTGATTTAGCTATGTACTGCCCCCTATCGTCAGGGAAAATACACATCGTCCTTTTAATAGCCACTTTCATCCTCCCTGCCCGCTGGTGGTGGTCGGAGGAACCGGTGGCATCCGTGCTGGGCCATAGGCGCTATACAAATGCAGGTCGTTTATCATGTATCAAATGTTTTCAGTTTCTGGTCACGTCCTGGCTCTCAAACTACAGCCTCCTCTGCCAGCCTGTAGATTACAGCACCAGTCCGCTGGCGATGAGGGTAAGACTCATATGACTTTAGCCATTTTCTAACGTGTGTATGATACGTATCTCAGTGTAAAATGAGTTCCATTTGGTGAAAAACGTAACACCCATCATCTGTTTTTGAATCTATTATTTCATGTCTGCAGATGGCCAGGGTTTGCTGGTGGTTTTTCTTGTCCAAGGTCATCGAGCTCAGCGACACGGTGCGTTCATCACATCAAGTCAGTAAAAAGGTTTCAAGCTCAGATTTAATTTCCGCTTTCCTCTAGAGCAGCTCTTCTTCATCTTGAGGAAGAAGAACAGCCAGCTGACTTTCCTTCATGTTTATCATCATGGCACCATGATCTTCAACTGCTGGGCGGGAGTCAAGTATGTAACGGGAGGACAGTGTAAGTTACTTGGCATCATGCAAAAGTTTGCACTAATTCCGTCAGATTATTCTGAATGAAAAAGATCAACCACAATAGTAAATGGTTGGATTTCCTGCACTCTGTGTAGCTAAAGATTGACTAGTGGCATTTCGTTTTGTTCAGAACTGAGTGGTGACAGAGTTTATGTAGAGGTGTAGAACCTTCTAGAGTGCTGAGAGAACCTTATGGGTGCTTCATGCTGTTAGTGTCCCTCCTTTGTGTAGCAGAGTTCAAAGTGGATACAATTATTAATGCCGGCTGGGACGCAATTGTCTGATGAAGATGCATACAAAGAGTGTTGCATACTTTTTCAATTTTGCACTTATTAAAAGAAACTTTATTCACCAGTGCTCCAGTTCCCCTGTTTTGATCATCAAATATTGTCACAGCAAAGGGTCTGAATACTCAGGACCATGTGATATTTCAGTTTGTCTTTTTTGATAAATCTGCATACATTTCTAAATGTTGTGTTTTTTGTTAATACGGAGTGCTGTGTGTACATTAATGAGGAATTTTTTTCAATTTAATTGATTTCAGCAAATGGCTGCAATTTAACAAAGAGTGAAAACTCGATGGGGCTCTGAATAATTTCCATACCCACTGTGCCCGAACAAGTTGTTTTAATTAGGTCGTCAAAAAACATAAAACCTCTCTCACTTGCAAGAGAGAGCAGCTGCTAGAGAAATGGAGGCCCGACCAGTGTTGCCAGATCCAAAATCCCACAGTATCATACAGAGAGGCCTAAATTATCGTTTTCCAGTACAAATTATCGTACATTATAAATTTGATAATAACGTTCTATAAACGACTTCTCACTCCAATATAATATAACAAAGAAGGTGTTTTATATTGCCCTGTTTAAATAAACATCTTTAAAACCAGTAATATAATGCCTATAAACGTGCAGAGTGTGTCGGCACCACTCCGACCTCCACGCATTGACACAATATGCACATTTGCGCAGTCCTATTTATGTCATTTCTACATAGATTAAACGCACGTGACAAAACATCACACCAGTGGAAAAACTGACCCAATAAATGACAAAGCAGCCTACTCACCTAGTTCCAGAGTCAGTTTTTGTAATAGACACAATAGCATAAACCTGTAAGCACTGAGGTGAAATCTGACTTCAGAACAGTTTAAAATTATGTAATGGACTTGGGAAAGCCACAGCAAAAGACGGTGTTACTAGATGCAATGTGAAATTATCGTACATTTGAGGATTTTTGAAACTATTGATCGTACATCGTACAGAGCCCAAAATTATGGTACAAATACGATAATTATCGTACATCTGGCAACACTGGGCCCGACTCCCGCTCCTGGATAAGAGCTTCTCAGCATAAAGCAGCCTGAGGGGGGATGGGTGGGCATGGCCAGCTCAAACTTGTTTTCTTAAAGGGACAATGTGTAGTTCTTCCTGTTAATGTTGTTGAAAATGAAGTCATAAAATGTCCCTTATGAATAAACTTTAGAAAACTTGTTGTACATGTGCCAACATTTATTCATTTAGTAAACATTTCATGTGTTTTAGTCTTTGATTCATGCATTCAGAAGAGCTGAAAGCACAGCGTGAGAGGCTTTTTGATATTTTGATAACTTACGTGTGCAAACATTTAATAGTTATCTAAAGTAATTATCTAAAACTTCATTTAGTCATGCTTTCTGAAGAAGTCTTTAATTTCAGATTTTTATAATTTAGTGTCTTGTTAAATTTAAGGTAGAATGATTTTTAAGCCCTCCATTATTTTTTAAGCTTAACTTGTTTGTTTTATCTTTACAACTTTGTGCTTTAAAATGATCAAAACTAATGTATAATTGCTATACGTTTCTCCTTCATCTGCACCACATCCTGCAGCATTCTTCGTCGGCCTGGTGAACTCATTCGTTCACATCATCATGTACTCCTACTACGGCCTGGCAGCAATCGGCCCTCACATGCAGAAGTACCTGTGGTGGAAGCGATACCTGACCTCTCTGCAGCTGGTGAGCAAGTGGCTCCACAAGGGTTTGATGTACATGAACTATTAGTTTATTCTGACGCAAACTCTTAATTGCTTCTACAGGTGCAGTTTCTCCTCTTCCTCCTGCACGCGAGCTACAACCTGTTCACAGAGTGCGACTACCCCGACTCGATGAACGTGGTGGTGTTTGGTTACTGCATCAGCCTCATCATCCTCTTCAGCAACTTCTACTATCAGAGCTACCTCAACAGGAGGAAGCAGAAATGATGAAACACTGACATTATGGAGAGATGAAAGCTCATAAAAATATGAAGGTGAATTATTGGACAATTTGGTTATATTATGGAGATTTTAACATCAATGCACTGAACCAAAAAAACACAAAACTCTAAAAGACAACATATGTCAGATTCTATGTATTATTGAAGTCTACATCCTGGAATCACCGACACACAAAACTTATACTGTCCGGCCCAAAAACGTCCTCCTGGATTTAACAAGGCAAGCAGGTAGGAGCCTCCCATTAGAGAACTACTGCACGTAGCTGGCTAAAAGTTATTTAACCCCAACTGGTGCAACAGTTGCTTCTCATTTCTTAAACAATCATGTGGAAAGACACATCTGGTGGTTGTGGAAAAGATGTTAGTCTGTGTGAGGAGGGTCAGATCATTGGCATGCATCAAGCAGAGAAAACATTTAAGGAGATTTTAGAAACAACTAAAACTTGGTTAAGAACTGTCCAATGCATCATTAAAACTGGAAGGATAGTGGAGACCCGTCATCTTTAAAGAAGGAATCTGACTGGGAAAAATCCTGAATGATCGTGATTGGCGATCACTTAAACATTTGGTGAAATCAAATCAAAGAAAAACAACAGAACTTTGTTTTATGGTGATTCATTTGGATGCTTGGTTTTATATTCTGCTACTTTGTTTACTATTCTCATTACAACTGCACAGTTGAGCACAAAGCAAATATGGGATAGGCTCAAATAAGCCTTGGGTCAGCCTATTTCAATTTTGAGCTAAATTTATTTAGTGATCTGTAACTGTACAAAGGTTTAAAGGGGATATGTACAATTGGAATAAACATTCATTCATTCATTCATTCATTTGTTAGTTCATTTATTCTTTTTTTCTTAAATCCCCTCTTGGCCATGGCAGATGGCTGCTCATTCTTAGGTTCAGCTGGAGGTTTCTTCCTGTAAAGGGGAGTTTTCCTCTCCACTGTCACTAGATGGCTAGCATGAGGGATTGCTGTAAAGTCTCTGACACAAGTCAGTGACTCTATGCAATCTCCTGGGTTTCATTAGATATAAAACTTCTAAAGCTGTTAAAGTGAATCTACAGAGAGAGCTAGGGTTTGAACGCAATCACGATCACAAACCACTCAACTCTCCCCTGGGGTATTTTCCCTGACACGTCTGCAGGAACCAGAACCCCGCAATGCCAGAGGAAACAAAACAGTGTTAAACACCAGTCACCATTTTCTAGGTCCAATGGTTTTTTGTTGTCCGTGACTTCAAATGGTGCTTTTCATTTTGGGGCGCTGGTAGTTTGTCCTAAAGTTGAAGTGGTAGCAGCCGGCTGTTTCTCCTTCTCTGATATTACTGAGTGGAGAACCTCTCACACCAGTGGTGTTCTGGTGCTAAGTACTCAAGTGTATGATTAATGAAGGATCCAGGGAAGTGCAGCAAGACCAACAACCGGATGGTCCAATAATTGCTTTCAGTCCAAACTATGTTACTTGCGGAGGCTTGTACTGTATACATTTCAGCTGCTTGTATCCGCGATCTCGTTCTTTCGATCACTACCCAAAGCTCATGACCATAGGTGAGGGTAGGAACGTAGATTGACCGGTAAATCGAGAGCTTCGCCTTCTGACTCAGCTCTCTCTTCACCACGACAGACCGGTACAACGTCCGCATCACTGCAGATGCAGCAACAATCCGCCTATCGATCTCGTGCTCCAGTTTTCCCTCACTCATGAACAAGACCCCGAGATACTTAAACTCCTCCACTTGGGACAGGACCTCATCCCTGACCTGGAGAAGGTAATCTACGTTTTTCCGAATCAAGACCAAGGTCTCAGATTTAGAGGAGCTGATTCTCATCCTAGCTGCTTCACATTCGGCTGCGAACCGCTCCAGCGAAAGCTGAAGATCACGTTCTAATGATGCCAACAGGACCACATCATCTGCAAAAAGCAGAGACCTGATCCTCAGGCCACCAAAACAGATGCCCTCCACACCTTGGCTGTGCCTAGAAATCCTGTTCATAAAGGTTATGAACAGAATCGGTGACAAAGGGCAGCATTGGCGGAGTCCAACTCTCACTGGGAACGAGCCCGACTTACTGCCGACAAGCAGACCAAGCTCTGAAACCGGTCATACAGGGACCTAACAGCCCATATCAGAGGGCCTGGTATCCCATACTCCCGGGGTATCCCCCACAAGGCCCCTCGAGGGACGCAGTCAAACGCCTTCTCCAAATCCACCAAACACATGTAGACTGGTTGGGCAAATTCCCATGCACCCTCCAGGATCTCCCTAAGGGTATTGGGCTGGTCCAGTGTTCCACGACCAGGACGAAAACCACATCGCTCCTCCTGAATCTGAGGTTCAACAATCCGACAGACCCTCCGCTCCAGAACCCCTGAATAGACCTTACCAGGAAGGCTCAGGAGTGTGATCCCCCTGTAGTTGGAACATGCCCTGCGGTCCCCCTTTTTAAATAAGGGAACCACCACCCCAGTCTCCCAGTCCAGTGGGACTGCCCCTGATGTCCACGCGATATTGCAGAGCCGCGTCAGCCAAAACAGCCCCACAACATCCAGAGCCTTAAGGAACTCCGGGCGGATCTCATACACCCCTGGAGCCTTGCCACAGAGGATCTTTGTAACCACCTCAGTGACCTCAGCACCAGAGATATGAGAGAGCACCAGAGATATGAGAGGCCAACCCAAAGTCCCCAGACTCTGCTTCCACACTGGAAGACGTGTCGGTGGGATTGAGGAGGTCTTCGAAGTATTCTGCCCACCGATCCACAACATCCTGAGTCGAGGTCAGCAGCACACCGTCCCCACTAAAGATAGTGTTGAATGGCGTTAAACCGGGGGGGGGGGGGGGGGGGGGGGGGGGGGTTGTCAAGGGCCGCTATCCAGCATATTTTAGTTTCAGCCCTGCATCAGTGGCGGCTGGTGAAAAATATTTTTGGTGGGGTTGTGCTATTCTTTTTTTTAAACAAACTTGTGCTTTCTGAGCTTTGTGCAGAACTTCACTATATCCTGAATTAAGCACAGCTCTTTTATTTCCTGTCTTACATTATTGGACAAAGGGATTAATCCACGTGTGTCTGACTATTGGCACGCTGCCTTGCGGACCAAGGTTGAAAAATACTGCATTAAATTGCACATAAAATAACATGACCATAAATGGTCCACATCCACATTACTGGTTGTGAAACTAACATACTGGAGAATTTCATCACAATAATATGAAATAAACAAGTATGTACCTGATCTTTTGCATGCTGTTGGTGAAGCTCTGGATGACCCCTGTCAGATATAGACAGAGTCAATGTTCCTCTTCTGCAGCTGGTTGAACAGCATGTCCACATGTGGCATGATCTTGTGACACAATGCCAGCAGAAAGCCGAAATCTTCTTCCTCCAGCATTCTCACAAAGCCTCCTGCCTCTCTCAGTGATTGGATCAAAGTCATCCGAGTCTCTGATCATCTGGAAAAATCTGAGGAGGTCATCTTTGTGCTCATACACTGTGTTGACATCTCTCTCTTGGACAAAATGTGCCGGTTCTGATCCACTTCTTCCTCGGCAGTCAAAGGACCCCGAGCCGATCCTGCACCCGAGCAGATCCTGTACCGACACCGGCAGCCCGCAGACAAGCGCCGCTGCGATCAGAGATGCGCAGAGCTGCCGCTGGGAAGTACCGGGTGGAAAACATTGGTTTCCATCAGAGAGCTCCACAAGCCGGCAGCCCCCGCAGCAGACAAACGCCGCGGCGATCAGAGATGCGCCGAGCTGCGTGGAGGGGACCATACTAATAGGCGGAACCCAGCTCCACCAACATGTTATATTTCAACCATTTTCTAAAATGCAGCATTATGTTAAATGCACTGGGTTTTACCCTATTACATTTAAATTTCATGGTTAAACAGTACATGTTAAAATCTAAGCTCAGCTAGTGCAAGAGCGCCAGTGACCTAAAATACATAAATATAATTTTACTTGCCGAAAAAAATGGAGACTCCTTGGACGCTCTATTAGTGCAATTAATACCACAGCAAGTCATTTTGTCCAACAATTGCACAAATAATATCCAAAAAAGAACGCACAAACGCTACAACTAATGGTCTAAGTTGAGAGACTAAAAATCGCTTAACAGTTTTCAGGCCAGGCCGAGGCTCAGACTGAGGCCTTTCCACAGAGATAGCTCTGCGGTCACGTGGGTCTGATGCTCATTAATTATACCGAATTTTAGGCTTTTAATACACTTAAACAGAAGAGTGACAAAAAATCACCCCCCTCAGAGTTTTCATGAGTATAAACTAGATTTATTAAACCTAAAACATGTTTTGGTACCAGGCTGTACACTGCTAATTGGTATTTTTAACATGGGAGTCAATGAGGATTTGCTCTCTTCTGACACCAGCCCCAGCAGATAAGGGTGGAACTGCAGTGTATTTCATTTCCGCATTGGCCTCACTTTCATAGCCGAATTGTGAGGGCTTGTGCTTGTTTATAAGCGTGTCATTTTATATTTTGCACCAAAACAAGTGAGCAACCGACCGCACCCTCTAATGATCATAACGTGACACTGATGAAACTGCGCGGAGAAAGAAATACACAAACGGATGTTTTCAGAACAGTTTTATTTTTTTAATGTTACCAGCAAAATAAAATAAATGAATACAAAGAAAAACACCGGCTAGAACTTGAAGACACCCTCCTTGTATTTTTGAAGGTGTCTGCTGTAAACCTCCAGTTTTTCAGCATAGCAGATCGGTGTTGGAGACTTCCTGTTTCCGCTTCCATATTTGGTAGCGCCTGAAAACTTTGCCAGGAGTTTCTACAAACTAGTGTCCAAAGGTTTACTGACTTGTCACTGAACGCTGTTCCCTTAACTCGTGTACCAAAGAAGGTGAGCTAATTTATAACCAGATATTTGTTGATTGTCTTTTGTCACACAGGTTCACCATTTTATTTTAATCTGTCTATAGATGGCTTCATTGTGGCAAAGAGTCCTGTCTGCACACCAGAGGATAGTAGACAATGGAGGTATGGTACGGAAGCGTATTGCATTCAGCCACAAAAAAAAAAAATTAAAAACTTTTTTTCCCCCCAATTAACGAAATAATTAAAATAATAATTTATCTGAAGTGCTAATGATGCGTTGCGGCATTACGGGCTAATAGAGGAACACAAACATGTCTCGTTTGCTGAGTTTTATTCACTTTCACCTTGTTTTGGGATTGAGAAACTGTGAAATTGCTATCTCTGAACTGAACGGGCTCTTCTGAAGTAGTGAGAAGAGTGATGCCTTTGAGCTTTCATTTCATGTTTACATTAAATTATAGCCGACATATCTGTCCCCCCACCCCTCAGACAAGAGGACAGACCCCTGGCTGCTGGTCTACTCTCCTGTCTCCGTGTCACTCGTCTTCCTGCTTTACCTGTTCGTGACCTGGGCCGGGCCTCACCTCATGAAACACAGACAACCCGTTGACCTCAAATGGGTTCTTATTCTTTACAATTTCACCATGGTTCTTCTGTCTGCATACATGTTCTACGAGGTGTGTGTTGTGATTATTTTAAGTGCACGAATAACCCAAAAATCAGTTGAGCACAACAGATTCAACAAGATAAATATTTCAACAACCATGGATTTTTCCTCTCTTTGCCTTGTTTAAGTTTCTTTAGCTAAATTGATGCAAAAAAGAAATATTTAAAAATGTGCCTTTTCATCTTCATCATCATCATCGCTTTATGTATATAGCACCTTCCAACTGCCCGAAGACAAACCAAAGTGCTGTACACACATCAAAACATCACAGACCCACAGTGGTCATCAAAATAGACATAAAACAGATAAAAGCAGGAGATAAGAGCAAATAATGATTTATAACAACAAGGTAACTAAGTGCAACTGAACTGGATCAAATTTAGTTTTGTTAACTTTGTTAAAACCTGCCAACACAGATCCTTTCTAACATGTTCATATTCTCAGTTATTTGATTTAAAAAAATCTAACTTGTTAATTACATGGGAGAATTAACATTTAACCTTTGACATCAGGGTATAGATGGGGTTAAACATCGTTGAAATGTATCCCAGCTTATGATATACAGGAAAACCTGTCTAAGTTGTCTTAAATGAATGTGCCAGTAGACATTGTGTCAAAGCCCAAGCCTTTTGGATTAAAGATATAAATGAATGACCATACATGCTTGGAACCAGCCACGGGTGGTTGTGTGAACACCAACCTCACACTAACTGTACAGCACGATGGTGGCGATGGAGTTATTTCAGCTGCTTCAAGGGCTGATTAATGATTCATTACATCCTTATATATAAAATGTTCTTCAGGACAATTAGATAAACCCTCAAACATCCATTAGCTGAACAAATGGCTCTCATAAATTCAGGATATATTTAATGGTTTTCTGTGCAAGAAAATTACAGTTTTTAATTTGTACTGAATAAAGATTTCAGGTGCAGATTTTCTCCGTGTAAGCCCAACTTTAGAGAATCACTTGTTACTTTTGTTCTTTTTAAAACTTAGCTTAGACTTAATTACTCACAACTGCACGTCATTACTTAAATATTTTCAGTTTCTGGTCACGTCCTGGCTCTCAAACTACAGCCTCCTCTGTCAGCCTGTAGATTACAGCACCAGTCCGCTGGCGATGAGGGTAAGAGTCTCCCTTTAGCCATATTCCCATGTCTGCACTAAACATATCTCAGTCTAAAACGAGTTCCATTTGGATAAAAAAAAAACAAAGCCCACCACCTGTTTCTGAACCTCTGTATTGTTTCCTCTCTGCAGATGGCCAGGGTTTGTTGGTGGTTTTTCTTCTCTAAGGTCATCGAGCTCAGCGACACGGTGCGTTCATCACATCAAGTCGGTGGCAAAGATTAAAGATGAGGTTTAATTTCTGCTTTTCTCCCGAGCAGCTTTTCTTCATCTTGAGGAAGAAGAACAGCCAGCTGACTTTCCTTCATGTTTATCATCATGGCACCATGATCTTCAACTGGTGGGCGGGAGTCAAGTATGTAGCTGGAGGACAGTGTAAGTTACCTGGGATCATGCAAAAGTTTGCACTAATCCACCAGATTATTTTTCATTTAAATAATCTGCTGTAATAGTAAAGGGCTGGATTTTGTTCTGTGTAGTACAGGATTAGCTGCTTTTCAATAATTAAATAATCTTTTGATAATTAATGTTATGGGTGCAAACATTTAAAATGATCTGAACCACCTAGTCTTCCATTCATGCTTCCAACACTTATCCTTTTATAATTTAAGGTGGGATCATTTTTAAGCCCTTCAGGCTTTTGTAGGTTTAACTTGACATTTCTTGTAATCTAAATTCATCACACAAGCTAAACTAGTAACTACTATAATTCTTCATCTGCACCACATCCTGCAGCCTTCTTCATCGGCCTGGTGAACTCATTCATTCACATCATCATGTACTCCTACTACGGCCTGGCAGCAATCGGCCCTCACATGCAGAAGTACCTGTGGTGGAAGCGATACCTGACCTCTCTGCAGCTGGTGAGCAAGTGGCTCCACAAGGGTTTGATGTACATGAACTATTTGTCATTTATCACCTGAACTTGCTGCTTCAGGTGCAGTTCCTCCTCTTCCTCCTGCACACGGGCTACAACCTGTTCACGGAGTGCGACTTCCCTGACTCCATGAACGTGGTGGTGTTTGGTTACTGCGTCAGCCTCATCATCCTCTTCAGCAACTTCTACTATCAGAGCTACCTCAACAGGAGGAAGCAGAAATAATGAAACACTGACCAGATGGAGAGATGAAGGCTCTCAGCAGCAGTATTTTTCTGTCCACTAGAGGGCACAACCTGCCCACAGTCTGCAGGATTGTCCTCAGCAGACTTCTATTAACATTTGTTTTTATTAATAAAAACAAAAGACAAAATTCAGTCTTTCAGTTATTTATTTATTCAACTGAGAAACGACAAACATTCACAAGATGGTTGTAAACAAACTGTACATTTATTCACATATAATATTAATATTAGGAGGTCTCAATGTCCCTGCGTTATCGCAGAACTAACCCTCCAACAGAGAGAAAACCAAAGACAAAACAAACACAAATGCGGGTTTTAAATGTTTTTACACTGCTACAAGGTCACAGCAAAATCATGGATTCTTTACACTTCAGTCTAAAACATTATGAAAGATGTGGATCAGGAATAAAAATATAACCGATGACAGAAGTACATTGTGAGTCTCTCGTTTGAAACTTTAATGGAATATCAGATTCTACTGCAAGTTTAAGTTTTAGCACCGACAAGTCACATTTTTATGAATGATGAGGACCCCCCCCCCCCAAGATGTCAAGAGTGCTGGGATGAGCATTTTTCTAATCTATCTGCCGGATTCCACATCTGTTTGTTCTGAAGATATTTTTATGTTAAATAATGTTTCTTTTAAGTCACAAAGTTAAAGTTTTAATGTTAAATTAATGGAAAAGTGTAAAATCAGTGCAGCAGACTGTTTTCACATTTACACGTTCACTTTCCAAATGAGATTTCCTTTAAAGTCTAAATAGTTTATCCTTAAAGTTTTATGTCAAACTATTATAATGACCTTTTAAACTGATCTAGTGGGTCTTGACTTGATGCATAGATCAGAATAAACTGCTGAGAGCATGACCTGTGCCCTTTTTTATGAATTAGACTGAGAAGTCTGTTGAAGAAGCAGAGGGAGGAGTGTGTGGATGAAGTAAAAATGCAGAGTAGAATGTGCGCTCTGCTCCGGCGTGGCTTTATGTTTCTGTGTAGACTGAAGACACGTGGCTCAGGCTGCGGTCGAAGCTGCCCACCTGGAAGAAGATGTTCTCCTCTGGGATGGATGAGAACTGGCAGCCGGCGCTTCCCTGCAGCTCTTGGTTCAAACTGAAGCCTGTGGCACACGTGATAAATCATTTTGTTTAGTTTTTTTTAATGAAAATGGTTCATAGGGATATTAAAGATACTGCTGTCGCTGCCAAAGAAATGTTCGCACTTGTGGAGCCGCTGCTGCCGGTTGGCATGTGGAAGCCGTTGTGCTGATGGGAGGTGTAGGTCTGAGAATCTCCCGGGTCGTGGACGTCACCGACCGTCTGCTCAGTCCTGTAGGAGTCTCCAAAATGGAAGCAGCTCTGAAAGCTGGCTTGGTATTCTAGGAAATGAGGCAGGATGTAGAGGAGTGGGGGAAAAGAAACCAGACTTGATTATCTGCCATCGACATCTGTGGGCGACTGTTTCCAACGCTAGTGAGTGTGCGCCATCCGGCCTAAACTTAAACGTGCAGCTCGAATCATGACAAAGCCATGTTTGTGCTGGTGCTCGCTCCTTTAACCACAAGCAGTGTTCCATTTGTCCCCATAGTCTCCGTTTATGCTTCGAATCAACCACAGGAGTCTTGATAATGGGAACTAAGCCATTCTTGAAGCACTTTTATGCAACTCCTTGACCACAGCTGTGGTTAGAGAGAGGCATCCGTACGTGGATCTTTCCAGGGAAATCGGTGTTTGGCACATGAAGGGGGGGGGGGGCTGCTCTGGAGACTGCTATGTTCAGACCAAGAGAAGATAACTGAATGCATGAGCCAGCATTTTGTTGGCTTATTCCCCACAGGCAGAAGGCTTTGTGCATGCAACCCTCCCTAATAAGCATTTGGAACAATGCAGGTGTTCAGCTTTGAGTTCCTGGAATGATTTAAATGTATCAGACAGTCTGCATGCTGCTGAATCACCTGCCACAGGAAACATTAGGGGATATTAAACTGCATGCTCAAGCCAGAGCAGATTTCCTGGAGCAAGTTTTGATTGCATTCAGCCAGTATACTCTACCTTACCGTCACTGGCTGACTGATGATGATGATGATGGTGATAGTGAGGGTAGGGCTTGTGGTGAGGGTGGACATGCTGTTTCTCCAGTGGAGGAGAAGTTCCTGTCGTCTTCATGCCAGGAGACAATAGGGGGCCCGACACCCTGAAGGAAAAGCAAAGGGATGGATGAAAATCAGATCAAATGAAGGCTCCGAATTTGCTGCATTCCTAAAAGTCTTTTAAAAATCCTCCCAAGAAAATGCCTGATGCTTTGTGGCATCTCAATAAAAGCTGGAGCTACAAGGCGGCGCATTCTCCATGCAGTTCAACAACGAACCCAACAGAGCAGCTAGTGATCCTAGCACACTCAGAGGAAACAGGCCAGGTGGGCTTCCCCCACACATGATCGTCCCGCTCCCTCACATTTATGATCTTGAGTCAGCAGACAGCAGCAGTGTGTTGTTTTTATGAACTCATAGACTCAGTGTACCTGAAGGAATTATGTTGTTTATTTGTTTGTTTTTTACCAAGAGAGCACAACAGTTTACACGACTTTTGTGTGAATTAGAATTGTTCTCATTTGTGACTGCACTCCCTGTTCAGATGTAATATCTTCATTTTGCAACAGCTAGATATAAAATGATAGATTGTATAAAAGGATTTCCATCTTATTAGCAGTTACTGCCTTTGAACAACATGAATATTGTAGCTTTAAGCATATCTGACTTTTTTTAAACATGATAAAAAATTAAAAGTCTAAATATAAATAACATCTGAAAATTTAGAAATGAAAGACCTTCTTTGAAGACAGGTATGCAAACCTCCTACCTGCAAAACGAGACTGTCTCATGCTGAGAACTGATGGAGTGACTCATGTTTAAGTCTTGGAAATAATGAACTGTGTGTGAAACTCTTAGAATATCACAAGACCTTACACAGTCAGCTGTTGGTTGTTGGTGCTTGATGTACTGAGAAAGGCTTTCAGCATCTACCAGACCCAAATTTAACCTTGTGTGAAATCTGCAGAGTTGCTGACCATTTTTGAGACTTTTTAAGGTTAACAATTCATGTTGATAATTGTCAATGGATGCATTTCCAATATTAGAGGGAAACTAGGCCGTTTTGGCTTACTTTTAGCACCCTCTAGTGTCCGTTTGTAGAACCAAAAGCAAACCCCATCTCCTTGCTGTACGTTTGTCTTTTTAACATCTAACAGCTGAAACATCTCCCAGCCTTCCTTATTGTCTACAGGAGTGATTCATCACTAAATCAAACTAATCCACTCATGATCTAAAACATGCTGGAACCAGACTGCAGCGCCAGGTATGCCAGCTCAATATTTTCCAAGTCCCATCAGAGCAGCCCACCAGTCTGAAGTTGCAAATGGAATACTCTGGCCACAGGAGGCGATAAGGGCTGGGTGGCCTTTCATTAACTCTTTAAAGGGTCATTTTAGCACATACTGGCTAAAGAAAATGATTTACATATATGAAAAAGCTGCAAAGCATCCCTTTAATCAGTGTTAGATACATCCAATGTAGGTTTTGTGAGGGTGTGATTAAAATTTATCTAGTGGTTCATAATTACGATGCTGTTACGATTACAGACGTCCTGCTTGAGCCTTTTTAGTCACATGTGATACAAATATTTACATAGCTAATTGCAAAGAGCTGAAGTATTAACATCACCCTCCCATCTTATCTAAACTTGATTGATCGATGATGACATGTAAACAATTTCTGCAAACCTGCTGCTAAAATGAAAACAACACAACATGAATCTTCATCCTACTGATATCCATACACTAATAATAAACTTAGCATAAAACGTAAACCCTGACTCAGTCCCGTAACGATGTAGATGTGAGCAATCGGAATCAACTCTGGATCAACAGACATCGCTTAAAGAACAAAAATCTTCAGCAGTTTCTCACAGCTACATTTCAGGAATGCCAACATGTAACTGCTGCTGTGTTACTATGCAGCAGAGGCATATGGTTTGCACTAAGCAGCGTATGAAAGTGATGACAGGGTTTTGCTGGAGGCGGTGGAGCCCTTAGATGACTGCTGGCCTGGCTGGAGCCAGCTCTACGACCTGCTGCTCTGTGCAGGAACAACGTCCCACCCAGCACTCAGGAGCTGGCAGTGGCTTTGAGCAGGACATTTGGCAGAGTGGCCAGTAAAAAGAGACGGTAATGTCAAAAAAAAAAAAAAAGTACAAGAAAGTGAAATGCTTTCCTGCCAATGCTGAATTTGTTTTAGTTACCTGTAGGACACAGCCTGGGGCTCTCTTTACTCCTGCTTTTATCAATGGGGATCATTGTGAAACTATATTAAAATGCTTTTACATGAAGTGGTTTCATGTTTTTGCTTTTTAATGTCTTACCTTTGTATTAGAAGGAAAATATATTGCAAACATAGAAGTAAATGTTATTTGAAATGTACCCAACTTCAGTTCATATTTGGGGAAATGCCACACATTTAGGAGCAGGTATTGTATTACAACTAAACAAAATGTGATGCATTGTTACTGATGAAACTCTGTGTAATCTGAGGCACTAACTGAGTGGATACACGCTGGAATCTTACCACATTAAGGTAAGGCAGCTTTATTTATACAGCACATACGTAGAAGCAACTCAGTGTACTTTTCAGATGCAGGAACAATGAAAATATTCATCAAATATTAAAATAAATGTGACAACATAAAGCAGCAGCCTTTTAAATCTAATGTAAAATACAGAAGTAAAAACTGTTGTAAGAAATAACATTTTAAAAGGCAATGTTAAAGACTGAGAAGTTATGAATGTAGAAGGTGCAGAATGAAGCCTTCGGCACCATTGGCAAAAATATGGCGACACAAGTTTTATTTTGAAATATACTGAATGTTCCTCACTTCCTGTCTCACTCATGTAATTTATTTACCTTTATGACAATCGGCATGCAAAAAAAATAGACTCCATGGAAACTCTCGGAAGGTCCGGATCCACGCCACATCAGCCGATGTGAATGCTCTGATTGGACTCAATGGATTTCTGATCTTTGTGGAGGCTGTAAACCAAACCGCATACGCTCGGCATTCGCTTAGAGAGAGGCTGACAGGATCTCAGAGCTGTGCTGAGTGTATATACTGGAAGGAGAGCCAACATGTTTTGGCCCCATGACATTGAGTGATTTATAAACTAGCAGTAGCACTTTGAAAGGGATACTATAATTTATTAGCTCTTTAGCTCTGCTAACAATAAAAATGGGGGATTTCAAAATGACGTAGTCACCACCTAGATTAAAAGCCATAAACGTACATCTGTTAAAGTGACAATGAGAATGTTGTTGAAAATCATTGGCTTTGTAACATATAACCATAAAAATGGTAACTAAAATACATGGGAGCGGGTCTAAGTTTCTGGGCGACGCCGTATTAGACGTCATGTTTCCACCTACGGGAGCCCGTGAGGACAAAACACATTTACTGTTTTGTAACAAACGATTACAAAACATTTGCCATTCATAAACATTGTTTTACACATTTACCTCTTCACTCATTGCCAGTGATGAAAGGGAATCTTATGTGCTTGTCATGTTGCTGGACAGTGTGCTCCCAGGGAAATTTGACCCTAATGGCCATCCGTTGGTAAGGTCTTACTCAAACACTAAAATATTGCTTGCTTGCAATGATTTGATGAGGACTGGTGTACCGCTAACAACCTGACCCTGAACACAAAAAAACAAACAAACAAAGAAATCATCATTGACCCAAGAAGGAAAAAGGTGGAGCACCAGTGACTCACAATAAATGAGAGCCGGTGGAGAGGGTGTCACAGTTCAAGTTCCTGGGCACAAACATATCACCAAATGTCTAACAAAGAAGGCACAACAACGACTATACTTTGTGATGGCTCTCAGGAAGATAAACCTGCCAACTGCTGGTGTGGTTTTATCGCTGCTCCATAGAGTGTCCTGACCAACAGCATCCTGGTGTGGTACAGCAGCCGCTCTGCAGCTGACAGGAAGACCCAGCTGAGAGTAACCAGTCCTTAGTCTTTATGAGTAACTGTTTTATCTTATTTTTATCTTGTATGTTTTATCTTATCTGTTTTTCTTTGTAAAGCTAATTATGTGTCTGTTGCTGCTGCCTCTTGGCCAGATCGTCAATCGACTCATCTGGTTAAATAAAGGTTGATTAAAATAAATAAATAAATAAGTTGAAACTGCAGGGAAAATAACTTACACACACCTGCCTGCCCTTGATGACATCTTCACCACTCGCTGCCTTAGAAAAACCACAAACTTCCTAAAGGACTCAACCAACCCTTCCTGACCATCTCTTCAAACTTCTGCCGTCTGGTAAACCATACAGGGCAATGATAACACACACCACCAGGCTGTTAAACAGCTTTTATGCAAAAGCCATCGCTGAACTGAATGTTGTCACTAGGAGGTCGCACTATCAGAGATTCTGCTGGACAATTAGTGCACTACAGCACCTTTACATGCAGCTAGCTAACCCTGATACCTCTATGTGTGACTGTTTATATATTATGTTTACTTATGTGTACTTGATATTTCACTTTTTAGTTTAGACCTGTCTTATTACCCTGTCTGTATTTATACTTGTACAAATTTTTTGCACCTTAAACTGGCTGTGTGTGTGTGTGTGTGTGTGTGTGTGTGTGTGTGTGAGAGAGAGAGAGAGAGAGAGGGGGGGGAGGGGGGGAAACGTGTGTGTGACTTCTAATTTAGCCTTGTTATTTTATTTTACTACCTCCTTACGTGAGCTGTCTTTAATGAGCACAAAGTTAGTTTTGCCGTACACCTGTGCAATTGCATTATGATGATCTCGAATCTTGAATTCAGGTATGTACTGCCCCCTGTCATCACTTTAAAAGTAAATAATTAAATTGAAGTCTAAATAGAAATCTTAATGTTTGAATTTAAATGTGGTGTTTAAAATAGACCAAATTTGTACATTTAGACCGTTGTACGCTGAAAAAACATGGTGGACAGATCTTCTTTACAATGACTCAACACCCTCTTTAATGGTAAGATTGTGGGAATCAATTCCACTATTTATTATTTAATAATGATCCAGTCTGGGTCGTACACGCTGGTGAGTATGAATGGATGGTTATATAGACTCACACAATTTTACCATTAGGGGGGGTCA